ATATATATATGTATATTTATAGATCACATGGGGTCAATAGTTGATAATAAAGTTCCTTTTGTTCATGTTGGGCGTGTTCGTATTTGCATTTACAATTATTTATGTACATAAAGTACATATGTGTGCCATATAATAATATGTGATCTTTATTCTCATCTAGAAATTGCGCAATTGTAATTCCGTGCTGGCCATTCTATTTGTTTCTTTTTTTTTTAGTTTAGTTTTGCTGGTGCGTCACGTCACGTGATTTGCATATGAAACGACTGACACGCCAAAGGCACGACTCCAGCTGGGGCTGGGCTGCCCTGCCCCTACCAACTACCCAAGCTGCTCCGTACCCCTCCCCTGCCTTTTCAGTGCGGGTCTAGTGATATGCGTTTGTATACTTAATTTTCCCTGCCATTTGTGCGCACTTCCTCGACTTCCTCTGGCGACGTTTCTCAATAATTTGCCTCGGCTTTTTATTTATTCATCGAGCACAGGGCACAACCAGTCTCAAGCTGCCCATCGACCTGTCTATAACTATGCTCAGGCCTATGGATATGGTAATGGTTATGGCTTTAACTACTGCTTTGGCCACTCGCTTTTAGGCTGTTTTTTAGTTTAGCAGTTTTGTAGTTTGGTCTTTGTAGGCTTTGCTTCCTGTGTGATACGTCAAGCACAAGCAGCTCGATGACGTTTCCGTTTGGGTAGCCAACAGCAAAGCCATTTGCTATGTGTATGTGAAGGCTGCCAAAATCACCGGATAGTTTGCAACTCTCTCCTAGCTACTACTACTGTTCCTGCTGCTGTTGCTGCTGCTGCTGCAGTCTGTTCCCATTCTGTCGTATAGGCGGACATGTGCCCTATGGCTCTAGGTTGCTTTGAATATCCTTGCTGAAGGAGGCATATGCGTTGTGATGATAGTTGGCTAACAGCCTGAGTATGATGCAACTTTCATTAAACAGAGTAGCTTATATGATGCAAAATGAAGTATCTAGCTGCCATAGGAAGCTGGCCGATGAGTGGCAAGTGAATTTTATCATCGACATTCAGTTGATATTTGTTCTTCCCATTTGCTGTTTATAATTTATTTTGCTTGAGCCGTCCGTTATCATCGCCTTCAAATTGCGGCATTTGCTTTGTTCTCTGCGTAACTCTGATTGCAGTTGCAATTATATATTCAGTTGCAGTTACAATGGCATTTCCAGTCGCCGGCGCAGTTGCTGTTGCTGTTGCTTTCGCAGTTGCAGTTCCAGTTACTTTTAACTGCCCCGGAAGCAGTTCGTCATGAAGCCGAGTCGGATATTTATACATACATTCATTCATATGTACATATTGTGATACAATATTATGTCGCATTTGCCGCACGACTCGGAGGCAGTTCGCTGTTTTGCTGTTGTGCTGTTATGTGCGCATACAAGCATGCATAACTGTTACCGTACACACACTTCTGCCCGTAACTGTTGTTTGGCTAAGGGCATTTGTTTAATTCGAAGAAAAACTGGTTTTTTCCATCATATCGCAGCACTCAACTTGGGCTATGTTGACGTTCTAATTTCGGCGCTACGCTAAGAGCCAGGGCAGTCAGCAGTCAGTAGGCTCTCAACACAGGCTCAGGGGTATTAGGGGGATAGCCAGACGATGGGACCGCCAGTGTCGAAGTTGTCGCAGCTACAACAAAACAACAACAACAGCAAACACAAATTTTTTCGAGAGTCACAAACAACGCCTACGTATACGTATGCCCCAGACAGCAACTAAAGACACACGACAACTTTGTGGTGGCTGCAACAGCAACAAAACAGCAACAACAACAACAATAAATGTTGCATTTCAAATATGAAAGTTTGTTTCGCCTCTCAATGCTTAGATTGAGAGCGTGCGACAAATAGCGCTGCCAACTTGTTGTTAAAGCAAGATGCAGCTTCATTAATTATTAATTTCTTTCTTTTTTTTTATGTTATGGTTATATCTTGAAAGACCACCGCATTATCTCCTCAGGCAGTTTTCTTGTACCCAGTGAAAATGCGTTGTTATCGGCTATTGCTCATTTTCTAATTATTTTACTTTTAATACTTTATTTAAATAAAATAGCTGATCAGCTTATTCCTATTTATCTTTTGAAAAACGAATAATAAATCCCGAATCTCCAGCACATTCTACAATTTCTTTGCTAATTGGCTTATAGTCGCTCGACACAACTGTTGGATTTTGGGTGTTCTATATATGATACTTAGTGCTAATTCCCATTACTTATACGCGAAACTGCGGGTAGCTTTCGCTGTCTCTCACTAGATGTGTCATGCGTGTGTTTGCTATAGTAAAAACTGTGCACATTTCCCACAGACAATTCTCAATTGGCAGTGGGGATGGAATATGGAATACACACAGCAATCAAAAATGCCAAGGTTATTGTTGTTTTCCCTACTGGTGATGCTCATAGAAATTTGCCTTGATTTAATTCAATTTAACGGCGTCGTAATTTGCCAACCAAAAGGGCTGCCACCTTTAACATAAGGGCGGAGGAAGGGTTTGTTTGTCGCTCGGATTTTGGGCCCGTTTGTCGTCATGCTTGCTACGTTCAAATTTTCGCCTCTTTTTATAGTTGCGCTCAGAATGCATAAAATGGTCATGGTGCAACTATGGGAACAGGGAAGCGGCAGCGAATGGGGCCAGTGTGGGTCAGAAGCGGATCCTCCTCGCAAGACGGGCCCGCTCATGAGTCATTCAACTGCGAGCGTCGAGGACACGCAAGTAGCTAACGACAACAATCACAATAAACAACAAGAATAAGAGCAAGGAGCAGAAGTTGGCACTCGCTAGTTTTAATGATTATTTGCATGTTGCATATACAAAAGACGACGCCAACATGCATATAAATAATAAATATGTTCCCTGCCCCTATTTTACTTTTGCCACTTTCTGTGGCGCAAATCTGCTAATGCCTGTGCGCAGTTCTTTCCACCAGTCAGTTGTGTGTGTCCAGTTCGATTGAACTTGATTGACGAGGTGGTCTACCAATGTGGTTTTCATAATTGATGTTACTTGTTTTTGTTGTTGTTGCTGCTGCTGTTGTTGCAGTTGCTGTTTTTGTTCCTTAAGTGTCAAGTGGTGTTCTTTGTAGATCGTTCGCTGACTCATGGCCAGTCGTGAAGAGACGTTGGCAGACGTTGGTGTCCAATAACCCGGCATGAAATTTGATCAGGCCCCCTCCCACCCCATAAACACACATATGCATATACACACACACACCTACACCTACACATCTACACACAAACAGCACACACCCACGCATGCTTAGGTGGGTATCATATACACCCTGGTGTATGCATTGAATTACAAATGAAAAAAACTGGGTGGTGGCCAACACATATGAAATGTAGACACAGGAAAATAACTTAAATAGTTTGCTTATACTTTAAATAATACTTTATTTTTAAATTATTATAGATATATATATATATGTATAAATATTCGTTGCTCGTCTGGTTAAGCTAATAATAATAATTTGTAGATATCCCGCAATTTTGCTCCAATCACTGGGTATGTGAAGAGTCGAGCATATTTAGCTTTAGACAGTTTACTGATTTTTTAATGAGTGTCAATGAAATTTCCGTTAGACCAACGGTTTTTTTTTTTTTTTTTGGGCCGTTGCCTTCCTGTTGGGCTAACGTCAAAGTTACCCTGGCAACTCTGGGCCAAAACTTTGCCGGCTCCTTGCTTTTGTTGTTGCTCTGCTCGCTCCTGTACTTGTTCTTATTGTAGTCGGGTCGGGGCGTAGTGTTGCCAATTCAATTAAATTTTGCACCCAAAACGGGCCCTAGCGACAAAAAAAAAATTAACTTTGCAGACGTATTTTTACACATTTTCGTTTCGTTATTCACAGGGCAGCCAACTAACAGCTACAGAAACAACAAGACCAACACACATCGACCTCAAACAGCAGAAAACGAGCAGCAAGTTATTCAATTAAAAGTTCACTCAATATCCAGTGTCCCCTTTCACACTCCCCATCCTTCGAATAACGCCTGGTCTTATAGACGCTTGGCTTGATCCTGTTTTTCGACCCCACTCAATTTTTTTATGCATCCTGATTTTTTCCCACAAACCAAAAAAAAAAACGAAGCTATTCGGTTTTGTTTTTTATTAATTCGACATTTATATTATAAACGTCGATTAAGCTATTGGCAAGAATAACAACAACTTGACAGTCTATGACATAAAAATGGCTAGACTTAAAAAATAGTATATAATATTAATTTGTTGCACACTGGTTGCAACGATCAATACCCCAGAGGTCGCTGGTGTGGATGCGCTTTAATCTTCGGCGTGTGGTGTTTGACCCAAGTGTGCAAGCCAAAGGGTTGACACTGCTTTCTTAGACACGCCGATGACTAAATATCCTCCTAGATCCGAATCAACCTGACGACATCTAATTTTTGGTCTGAAATATTAATATGTATTTCTTCGTTTTAAACAATTTTTGTGAGATTGATCTGGAATCTTGGTGCAACAAATTGGTTTAAATGAGTACAAATATAATTCCCATAACAGACATATAAATTAGTGGTCCGATATAATCGCTTTCGACGAACCGAAAAGTCAGCTTTAAAACTGAGGGAGTTCTGCATACATACATCATGGCTATATCGACTTTATCAGGTCGGAGACGTCTCTTATACCCTCCACATGGATATAGCAATGCCCGCACAATCAGCTTAAATTATGAATAATGATCGAATAGCGACTTTCAACGCTGAGCGATCGGAAGTCAATTCATCTCAAAAGAAGAATTTTTTAATCAGTATATGAGTAAAGGACACGAAAGGCGTTTGCCCTTTTCACAGATATGCAATAAGAGATATATTTTCATTTTGTGTGGCTTTTGAATACAAAAATAAATTTGCAGTTATCAATTATATTTACTGTATGTTTACTTACAATAATTGTTATATACAAATCTCTGCAAGCTTTAAACCAAGTTTCATCCCCTAACGCTTCGCTTCTCTCATTTTCAGAGCCTGGGCATTCTGGCCTCCATTCCCGCCGGCCTGCTGATACTCTCGCTGCTTGGCCTGCTACTGTATTTGTTGACGCGTTGCTGCGATCGCAAGCAGCGCAAGCCGAGCGCCCAGCGTTGCCAGAGCTGCTCACTGGTCATTATAACGTTGATGACCTGTGCAGCCATTGGACTAGGTAAGTGCCGGCGCATTGAACCCCTTGCCATGTGTTTGTTTTTGTTTTTGTGCTTGTGTTTGTGTTGCTCCATACAAGCCCCGCTTCCAACGCCGCCCTCTCTTGGCCTTTGTCCTATGGCCATGGTCCATGCCAAAGGCAGGGAGACCACATCGTCGTCGCGTGTTTAACTTGGCAATTAGCCAAAAGTTGCCGTCGCCCATTGCATTGCTCCATTACGTGTGCGGCTTGGTTTTTGACACGTATCCAGATTTATGGGGCCGATCGACGACGGAGTCACGTCAACTGTCAAGCATGAGCGGAATATGAGAGAGACGCTAACCATTAAGTAATAAACTGCAATTTAAAAACAAAACAAAAACAAAATAAATAAATTTGCCCATTCGGTATATATAAAGTATGTCAAAGTGCCAAAGGTAATGCCCCTAATCAAAACGAGTTGAGTCCATCACAATGAAGCCATCTACAAAACAGTGCCGGCGACAGATCCAGCTACAGCTACAGCAACGACTGCGAGTGCCATCATTATAATCCAACCTCCGCATACAATTAAATAATAATTAAATTAGCGCTCTTAATTGGCTCATAAATGTGACTACGATCTTTGTCGCTATACGCTCAAGCAACAATCGACATCATCTGTCTTGGGAGAGTTGAAATAGAAACAGAAAAATAGTAAACAGAATTAGAATTAGAAAACGCAGTAGTCTTCTTCACTCAAGAGCACCTGAGTTCAACTTATTTCTCTTAGACCATTACAATCAGACCCATTACTGAGGATATCTTCCTTGATTTTTATTTAATTATCGCCACTGCTGTACATTTTCTCAAGTCCCTTTTCCTGATGAATGCCTTAAAAGACGCAAGGACCCAAGCTAGTTTACTCCTTTCATACTTATCGCAGTTGTTTAGTGCCGCTACTTTGTTTCACACCGAAATCTTATTTAATTTTCCCCCATTTTTATTTCAGGTTTATATGGCAATGATGATTTCCACAATGGTCTGCTGCAGGCCTTCAGCTCCGGCAAGAAGGTGGAGAATCTTGTGCTTAATCTTAAACAAGAGGTAAGTTTACAAGGACTACTAAATACATAAATAGTTTCCTTATTAAATACTCCCTTGCTCCGGGAACTATGAAATGAAAGCAAAATCCATGAAATACAGTTGAAAATTCTTCTGGCAAAGTTTGCGAAATCAGAGCACATTGCAATTTCACACATTTCATTCGATTAATGCACTTGCTAGCATCATATTTCAGCCTACGATTATATTGAGTTATACAGCAAAAGAGATATGCCTCTGATTCCCTATGCCCCCCACAACTCAACACATTTTTGTACACATAAATGTATCTCCTTGGCGAAGGCAACGGCATGCAAAAGGCGAAGGAGGAATCCGAGTTACATTGGATAGGACACACTGTCACGCTAGTCAAAGCTATAGATTTGATTTTCCTATTCATCAACTTTGTCAGCTCATATTTATTATAAACGTGTAGAGGATATTATAATTTTGCTGTGACGTGTGTAACGCATTGAATGAGTATATATATATATATGATATTCCCCGATCAGCATCACTTGCCGAGTCGATATAGCCATGTCCGCCTGTGTGGCTGTATTCACTTTTTTTTTTAAATATCTTATACTGATTAAGTTAGTAGTATCGAGTTAAGGGTAGACAGGGGTACATGCGAGCCTTTCTAATACGATATATACAAATATGAAATATTCAGTTAGCAGTTGAAGAACATCTAAATAAAATTTGTTTAAAACGTACAAAACTATATAAATAATAACGAACTCTGAACTCAAATTAGATGTTAGCAGTTTTACTCCGGTCTACAAGGGTATATAATGTTCGACGTGCCAAAGATGGGCGTTCATTCTTGTTTTTATATGCACATGTATATAAACACACACACACATATATATATATATATATAAATATATATAAAAACCGATAAGGCAAAAGGTTAAAAGAGTGTGACGAGAAAAATGTGAATGTGGGGGAGATAACGCACTGAGTCAGATTCAGAGGGAAGAATTGTGGGTGGTGGGTGGTGTATGGTGTATGGTTTAGGTGCGGACAAGATGATACTGTGGCCTAAACAGATGGCTGGCATTGCTTGGCTCTTAACTTAAATGCTATTAATTATCTAGGCACGGGACTAAACACACATCTACTCACACACACACACAGACACACATACATAAGAGGGACAGCCAGACAGTGGTCGGGGCTGGGGCTGGGGGTGGGATTGGGTTAGTTCGGTCTTGGTCTTTGCGTGAGTCGGTATTCGCTGCTTTTAGGCAAGTCCTCGACCCTACGCCCTGTCACGCTTCCCATGTCTGCAGTGCCCCTTTCCTCTCTCCACTCTCCTCTCTCTCTCTGTCTCTTTCTTTCCTTCTTTCTTTCTTTCTATTTGGCTGTGTACTCAAAGCATTGCACAAGTGCGGAAGCAAAAGCATTAAGGGGGGATAAAACTACTATGTTTATGTGCAACGTTTTCGTCCTTTGTTTCTGTTTGCCAGCTGTATGTCTGCCTGAGTTGGCGACTTCTTCTCTTCTCATCTATCTTTCAGTCTGTCTCCCTCTTTCTCTCTCTCTCTCTCTCTCTTTCTGTGTGTGTGTGTGTGTACCAGTCCTTTGTGGAAGCTTTCCCTTTACCCATTTTTGGTCATTAACTTTTGAACTGCTCTCACCTGCTGCTGCTGCTGCTGTTGTGAGTCAGCGACTCGGAGTAAGTTAAGTAATGGACGAACCCTACTATGCACATATCCAATGGCTTTTCGGGGGTAGTTGTCGCACAATATCGCTTTTATAATCAAATGCGACAACATCTTGTTAGCGAAAACAGCTTTAATCTATGCGAATTACTCCATGAGAGTTTGATTAAGGATATCTCAGAGATACGTGATGACATATCTTATCGTCCTTTGGCTCGCATTGATGGAGACCTCTTCGACCAGAGTTCTTGTTGTTTTTTTTTTTTTGCTTAAAAAGATATCCGGGCAAAATTCTGTCAATAATTAATTTGCTCGTCACATTTGGGAAGCAAAAATCACCCACATCGGACCACTATATCATATAGCTTTCATGTCGGGTTTTTTTTTTTAAATTTAGATGTCGGCAGGGGTATGCAAATCTGTTATTCTTGCTTATATATTCATGTTATGGTTGCATTCACATTTGGAAATAAATATAACAAAATGAAAAGAATCTGAACAAATCTCGAGTAACGTAAAATAATTTATTTATCACGTTCTTGTAGCTCCTCATAACCTCATGTTATCCTCAATATCTGCTGTGCTTCATTTTACGCAAAAACCGTTCTCAAAAAAGTTCTCTTTTCTCCAACGAGAGGTTCAGTTCCACTTATTTTTATTTTTTTTGACGCACTTCACAAGAAGCGTTTTAATTGTTGTGGTAAATTTATAAAGTTGAAAAGCCATTTATTTAAATGAACATTTATTAGAAATTAAATGCTCAGATCTTTGCGCTTGTAAACAACTGTTTGGCTGTCAGGGTTGCAAGCATTTTAATATGTCTTCTTCACATCAAGATGTAAAAGAATATTGGTTTTGTAGTTAGAGTCACCAGAATTGGTTGGTGACGTCCATCAATGATTGACAACGATCACGCTATACAACGGCTATATCTTCTATATAGTTTTTGAGCTAGAGCCATCAAATTGGGAAGTATTACGCCCGCGTGAAACGTTCTCAGTTATGTTTATCTTGAAATCTTTATCCCTTGAACATATTTTAATATTTGATCGTAGCTAAGTTTATTAAAATATTTGAATTCACTAAATTACAGACTGAAACCATCAAGCGTGATCTCGAAACGAAAATGGCCTCCCACAATGTGGTGGCTCAGGTGGAGAAGCCGCATAATCAATCAATCAATCAAACGGCAGTCATGCTGCTTATCGCGACGTCCCGTTTGGTAAGCGAGAATACTTCACGTGCAGTCACTTCGCTGGACAACATGGTCCTCTACTTCATGAAGACAAAGGGCAGTGAGAATGAGACCTCTTTAATGGGCATACTGCACGTACGTCTTCATATTAAATTATATATACATATATATATATATACCTATCTATATCTACAATCTACTTTCATTTCGCTCAGCTTGGCGATTTGTACGAGTCCATACGCTGGCCGGCTACATTGGCTTTCCTCACCCTGCTGCTCTTCCTGTGCACTGTGCTCGTCATTGGTGTCGCCCGTCGCTCCCGATGCACTCTAATCTTCTTCAGTGTTTCGGGCTTGTTTTGCATCATCATCTGCTGGCTGCTAGCCGGCATCTATTTGGCCTCCAGCGTCGCAGCCGGCGACTTTTGTATGCGTCCGCATGAGTTCATGTGCCGGCAGGTGGGCATGGTTAGTAACATTCCGACAGTTTGGCGCCAGTTGATTGTCTCTATAATGAGCTCTCTCCTACCTTCTTTCGATGATTACAGCGGAGTCCATATGTCTACTTCCTCAACTGTGGCACGCTGCGCAATCGGTTTATCCTTCGCCTCAACGAGTCTCGGGATCTTGTGGAGCGTGCTCGTGAGAGCGTTGAAATAATGCAACGGTGAGAACCAAGTAACATGCAAAGCCGTCTATCAGCTTGTAACTTATATATATATATATGTATATCACAATCTTTGGCACAGCATGAGCCAGGACACATATCCACGCATTGACATACAGCGCACCCTGAACGCCATGGACAACGATCTGGAGGAGACTAAACGAAATCTGACCAATCTTTCGGCCACACTGGACAGACGCGCCATTGACCGCCACTATGCCGAGGCACTGCAAGGCCTCTGCGGCATTGGGTTGCTCGGCCTCAGCCTGATGATGGTCGCCGGATTGCTTACCTCATTTCTGCTCACTATACTCGTCTATGCGGACTCTCACGCCTGGATTTATTTGAGCAAGCGGTAAAAACAACAAAACAAAAGAAGCAAACGAAATTTGTGGAGCTTGTTGCATTTTCAACACATCTTTTATTTATTTGTAGGCCCACACTCGACGGCGACAAGTCGGAGACGGCGCCACTATTTTCCGCCTCAAATGCACCCAGCGCAAGCATTTCGCCGACGGCGCCGATGAGCACGGGCACCATTAACCGCACGCTTCTGCACCATCAGCAGGCGCATGGTGGACCCATTGGCGGCAGCGTGGCCGGCGGAGCTGTGGCTGGACAGACGGGTACACTGCCAAGTGGCGGCAGCTTGGCCGGCGGCAATGGGACCGGCTCATATAGGAATGGCTCAGCAGGCCTGCGACAAGGGTTGGCATCACCACCATCATCACAATCAAGCAACAATACATCAACTTACCACCACCACAACAACAACCACCACTACAACCACAACCACACACAGCATAGAACTAACTTAACGGCAGCGGCGTCGGCAGCGGCGGCCTCATCGCTGGCCAGCCGCAACAACGGCGGTCGCCGTTCGCCGTCGCCGCCGCCCGGCTATGATTTGGTGCATGGCACAAGGCATGAAGTTTAATTTCTTATTCTTTAGTTATCGCTTTAGTTTTGCCTTAGTTAGTTTTTAGTCTGTAGACAAACCGTTAGACAGTCGACTGCACACTTTTTTTTTTTTTTTATTACGAATTATTATTTGTCCATGTGTACATTATGTTGCTTTACTCTAGTTGTCTTTGGTTTTCACCTTTTGATTTCAGTTTTGTTTATTTTAAATCACATTTGTTGTTGTAATCTGCCCTCTGCCTAGCACACTAGGCCTCGACCAACTGCATGACATAAAGTAGCTTAAGTCACATATATCCAATATATATCTAAATATATCATACAAGGACAACACCCTAACGCATAACGCAGACACGATACATGCACCACCACCAGCAACAGCAGCAGCAGCAGCCGACGCAGCATTGGGTGTAGTTGAGCAACGAGGCGTGATTTAAATCATTTCTTACTACTGGTTGCAGCTTCATTGTTTTATCACCTCATTCATATCATTCCCATGCATATAACCTTTTACTGCGCTCTTTAAGTGCAGCACAAATTGTTTGCTCGAACTGAGAAACAAAATCTTCAAGATATAAAAAGAACAACAACAATTTTAGACCGAAGCAAAAGGAAAGGATAGACTTAAAACAGACTTAAAAGGAAAGGATCAACTTAAAAAAAAAGAGTGATGGTGATCATAATGGGTTTAACACAAAAGTAGAACTAAAGCATATCAAAAGTAGCTCTTTGAATAACAAGCTCATCTCGAAATATCTAAAAACAACTAGGAAATAAATATAGACACCATATACAAGTATACATTTTGAGTACACTCTTTCATTTCTTATAAAAACTAGTATTTTTACTCGAACTTGCCTTTAGTGATGCCACAAATCTTTGGACAGCAGAGAGTGCGAAATGTGTTTCATAAATCTTTGAATTTATAAACTTGAAAAGAATAGTGAACTAAACCATTTGCAACAGGATATCTATTGATGAATTATTTAATGGATATAGTACAATAGATTGTCTACATAATAATATTTCGCTGTTTGTTTTCATTTAGTGTGAAAGGACGATTATAAAACGCATATCAGAGTTGCCTTAAAAACAAGAAATTCAATTATCTCAGCTTGCCATTGTGTAACAATATTTGCATTATGTACAGAATAAGCAAAAATTTTAGACACAAAATGTTTTCAAAATAATTCTATGACTAACTCAATAAGAAATCGGTTTTTAAGAAAATAAAAATAAGAACATTTTGAGTCTTTTATATGCAAAAGTTGTACATTTCTTTCGAGACAATTGCTGATAATATAGATATCGGTCACATCCAAGTTTGGTAAAAACTATTCGCTTAGAAAACTGGGCCGAAAGGAAATCAACTAATTTGTTTGTGTGTATAAATGGTGCACAGGTCACTGTATATGTATATATAAAACAAATACATCTTTAACATCATCTAAAAAAAAAAATAAAATAAATTTAAAAAAAAATGAAAATCGCCGCGACCTATCTGCCTGACTACGCCTAATGTTGCAACTAGTTAACGTTTAAGGTTTACACATTTATTGCAACAACAAAAAGTACTCACCAAAAAATACGTTACTCATTCCGCAAACCGTTATGTTTTTGCAGATCCGGCCACCATACGCTGGGGCGTCTGCCATCGCATCACCAACAGTCAGCGTCGTATTTGCCTGGCCCGAACAATGGCAAATACGCGACGCTCAGCAAGCAGTGTAAGACGCTCGAATCGAACGACTTTTACTGAGATTCGCTTGCCTGCAACACGTATGCAGGCAATAGCAACAACACGCAACAGCAACAGCAGCAGCAGCAACAACAACAGCAACAGCAACAACAACAGCAGCAACAACAACAGCAGCTACTGCAGCATCAACAGCAGCAACAACAAATGCAGCAACAACAAATGCAGCAACAGAAACAATTACAGCAACAGCAGCAACACCACAGCAGCAGCACCACACTGAAAAACATTTTCGCATCGGCCACGCTGCCCCGCTCAACGGGCAGCTCCATACGTTCCGTGCTGTCCGCCCAGACGGCTAACGCGATGTGCAAGTCGACGGGCAATGGACTGGATGCTGACGGCCTGGTCGATGATCGGGATCCGCGCGACGTCACCAACAACAGCTTCAATCGCTTCGATCCCAAATACATTAGCATCGGCCCCAAAGCGGTGCGGGGCAACAACAATCTGAACATTGTGGCCGCCGCAACGGCAAACAAGTGTGCCACACTGCGTCATGTTGGTCGCTACGGTGGCTCGTTGAAGGGCGCCTCGCCGTCGCCAAATTTGCGTAGCGCCAAGACGCCCTCGATAGCCACCGTGTCGAAGGATTACTGCCAGCAGGCGGACTGCATGCCTCAGGTCTATGCCGGCGGCTCCACGGATATGCTGGTGCCCAGCACGACGCCAGCGGTGGTGCAGCAGCAACAGCAGCAGCAGCAGCAACAGCAGCAACAGCAGCAACAACAACAACAACAACCATTGCAACAACATCAGTTGCAAATGCAGTTGGTGGCGCAGCAGGTCGCGCCACCACCACCGCCTCCGCAGCAGCAGCAAGTGCAGGCACAGCCACAGCTGCAACCACAGCACGCGCCACCTCCGCCACCCAAGCCAAAGATAGTCAATACCTTTACGGAGATACCCGGCACAACCGGCGTGGGCAGCTCCTATGCCAAAGAGCAACAGCAGCTGCTGGTTCTGCAACAGCAGCAACAGCAACAACTGCTTGCTCTGCAACAGCTACAGCAACAACAACAACAACAACAGCAACAACAACAGCATCATCCACCGACAACACACATTCTGCCCCCCTCAGCCGTCTATAGCATTGAAAGCAGTGCGGTCTATCCGACTCCAGCAGCTGCAGCTGCTGCTCAGCAGACAGCGCCAACGGCGGCGCCACGCGTGCAACGCTCCCTGAATCCGGCCTCCATAGTTAATCAGCCGCTGCCAGAGATACCCGTGCAGTCGCCCACCGGAAACATTGGTGCTCCTATCGCCCAATCGAAGATCAGTTCGCAGCCGTTGTGCGCTGCCACATTGGGTCAATATCGATCGCTGCAGCGACCACAAACAGCTGCACAGCAGAAGCTGCAGATTGCCGCACAACAGCAGCAGCAGCCGCCGTCGCTGCCGCCCAAAAATCGTCACAAGAACTCACGGGATGCCAGCAATGCCAATCATATGCAAACGCTGCCGCCCAAATCAGCCAGCTTGCGACAGCAGCAATCCGCCAGTTTTGGTTATGAACGCGAACGAGATAGAGACCGTGAAAGAGAAAGGGAGCGTGAACGTGAACGTGAACGTGAACGTGACCGTGAGCGTGAGCGTGACAGAGAACGTGAAAGACCACGACGTGCTGAGGCGCTGGATAATGCGCGCAGCTATGCGGAGCAGCAGCTGCAGCAGACATCATACGGAGCTCAGCCAATGCTGAGCAGCATGAAGAAGCAGCACTCCTACGACACCAGTACCTACCATCACCAACAGCAGCAGGCTTACTACCAGCAACAGCAGCAGCAACGCCAACATAACAACAACTATCATGGCACAGTCGCGAGCGGCGGCAGCAGCAGCAAGCATCATCACCAGCAGCAGCAGCAACAGCAGCAGCAGCAACAATTACTGATGGAGCAGCAGCAGGCATTGTTCTATCGCTCACTGAAGCGTGGTGGTGGTGGCGGTTCTGGTGCTGCTGCAGCGGCTGCTGCTCATGTTAATAGCGATTTGTATTCCGTAACGGAGTTGTAGGAGTGCGCCTGCTGCGGCGGCGGCGTTGATGTTTTGCGACGTGCCACGAACTGTTCGACGGGCACGAGCACAGCATCAGCGTCGCTGCACGCAGCAGCGGCGGCAGCCTCAGCCAGTACACAGACTCAAGCTCAAGCTCAAGCTCAAGCGCAGCTCAACCAGGCGCCCATACCGCTACCGCCCAAAAAGCATCGCGCACAGCAGCAACAGCAACAGCAGCAGCAACAACAATCGCTGCCGGCCTGCAATGCGAATCTGTGCGATGATCACGAATATGACGAGTACTGTCCGCAGCAATACGAGTCACAGCAGCAGCAGCAGCAGCCCACCCAACAGCAGCAGCAGCAGCAACGTCATGGCAAACAGCAACGTGCTGCCACTTTTGACGTCACGGACGCACGCGACTATGAGCTGAAGCGTCTGGGCAATCGCCGTTCGCAACAGCAGGCGGCCAGCAGCAAGCGCAATGGCGCCACTGCAGCAGCAGCAGCTGCTGCCGCCGCCGCCGCCGCAACAGCAGCAGCCAACGAGCAACAACAGCAGCAGCAGCAGCAGCAGCAGCATCATCATCGCACACACGATCGGGAGCGTTCACGCAGTGATCATCGCATTGCCAGCTATGCTTGCGAGGATGCCACAACAACGGCGCTGTGTAGCGCTGGCTCCATGAGTCTGCTGGCCGCCAATGGAAGTGCACAGCAGCAGCAACAGCAACAGTCGCATCGCAGCCACCATCAGCTGCAACAACAACAACAACAACAACAACAGCAGCAGCAGCAGCGACGAGAAAAAACGTTTAAAGTATGATTTTTAGAGACGTCATAAAAATTGCCCAGCCCGCGACAAGTTGGCTACAACGACGACGTCGACGACAACTGCGGTGATGGTGCAGCTACGCGCAGGCGACGCACGCACTAAATTTTAACAACAACAACAACACCGATAACGACGACGACGACGACGATGATGAAGCCAACTAGCGTTGCGGATTTTTCTAATAATAAGAAAATTGCACACACAAAACACACAAAAAATCAAAAGCGAAAATTCTCAAAAATGTGACCCCAAAAAGCAATTGGCCAAAACTGTGGCATTTGTATGCCTGCCCAGCCAACCCATTATAGCCCCCCTTCTTTCCTTCTGCCCGTACGTACCTTTAAATAATATGTGAAAGAACTAGCAATTTGTATTGCCAATTGGCCAAGTTAAATGAAAATCTATTGCGAAAATATGCTCAATTAATTCAAAAGCGAATGTTGCAATTAAATGTTGCAACTTGACGATAAGCCGTGCCTCATGCAAATGCACACAACACATACGCCACACAACATATACACACAAAATACACCAACACACACACACACACACACACACACACATACATACATACACAAATATACACATACTTGTACATGCCGCGCTCCTGCCCCGCCCTCAAATAATGCGCCGCCCTTTGTTCTCATTCATTTGTTACAGTTGCCACCTGCAGCAGTTTGTTGCAGCTGCTGCCAATTTATTAACAATTGTTTGCTCCGTGTTGATGTCTATTGTTATATATAATTATCAAACCAATTTTTTTTAATCTATACGTATATATATACATATATATGCCTTACTCTAATTAATTGTAAATGTGTTTATATTTACGTTTAGTGGAACTTGATTAAGTTAATTTAAGCCATTATTATTTATTTATGCAAGTCCGCAGCTCCCCACAAACTACCAAAATAACTTTATTTAAGACCAACTATTTTTTTTTTTTTAATAATTATGTTTTTATACCGGGAATTTTTCAATTTGTTTATTATTTAAAAATCCGTCGCGAGACTGTAAACAGTGAAACGTTCGTAATTTTTGTGACGTCAGAAATCTAATGAGAGAAGTATTCAAAAACTAAACAAAAAAAGAAAAGAAAAAGAAACCAAAACGAAACAAAACAAAACAAAACAAAAAACAAATCACAAACAATAACAACAGTAATTGTAAAACCATTTTAAATGTTGAAAGAGAAAAGAAAACTGCAGCGAGCAATATAAGTGAAAGAAAAGCAGCGCTGCAAGCCATACAAAAAAAAAATGCAAAACAAAATTCTTTAACTATTTTACAATCTAACGAAAACAAAAACAAAAACCAAAATAAAATATATATACATACATATACATAACATAACAAACATATATGCATACATAATGAATTACGTATATTCAAAACATGAAATTATAATGATGATATAATGATGATATTATTAACGAATGTTCAGGTCAATAACTGCATTTAAAACAAATTTGTTAGGCGTTAAATATATGCTCCTTTTATATACAAAAAACAAAAACAAAAACAAAAAACAAAAAGAAAAGAAAAGAAAATTACATATACATATACATATACATACAACATACAAGCTTACATACCATACAATACAATACCACATACTACAAAAGACGTTTGCATGGACAAATGATAACAGAAATGAATGTACATTACATATTATATAAAATAAAATAAACAATGAGAAAATCCGAAATAATTCAAAAATGGGAATAGTAATTCTTAAGCACAGCCATTTAATTCGTACATAATTTAATGATATACATGCATAAATATGCACACATGATGATGATGATGATGATGATGATGCATACCTAATGAGAATAAGAGAAATACAGCAATGTTAACAAAATGATATGGAAATGCATAAGAAATTTAAACTCTGCTGTGCAGATGCAAATAAACAAAAATCAAATAATATACGAAAAAAAAAAATAAAACAAAAACAAAACAAAAACAACAAAAAAGTCAATCTAAACATTTTCTTAAATGTGAACTATTCAAATATTTTGCATAAATACGCATGTATCTCATACTTTCCGATCTAAGTATATATAGTCTACAAGTTGTACATACATACTTCTTAGAAAGGTTCTCCCAGCAGCTCTTTCTTTCCCACTCACTCTATCTCTTTGCCATTCTCCCTCTCTCACTCACACACACACACACACACAAGCTGCAAGAAGTGGAATATGTTGCACAAAACGAAAGTAAATAAATAAAATGATATACGTATTTGAAACATACAGTAACATTCCATAAAACATATTTGTATGCTCCTCATATGACGCACATGACAACCTTCTCTCCTCCTTCCCACCCACCCATCCAGTTAGTTGCCCTTCTCCTGGTTTTTGCCCCTCCGTGTAGTAGTCACAAGTTGTTGCACACAAAACTTTGCTCAATAAAAACAAAAACAAGTTAACAAACACCGAAAATTAGTTCATTCAGAATTTGGCAACAAATATATTGATTGTTACAGGCTGTTTACACTTGTATATAAGTACGTTTACCGTAATATTTATAAGTAGAAAACTGCAACAGCAATATATAGATACCATACGTGGTACATAAACATGTGTTTTTTTTTTCTTCTTTTGTGTGTGTGCTCTGTTGCACTTTACAAAAATTCATTTGGGTGCCGCAAAAAAAAAAAAAAATAATAATAGAAAACGATTTGAATGCAAGACAAACATGTTTCAGAAAGTAGCGTAGTGTAGTGTCGTCTACCCTATAAGGCCAAAATAGTTTTTTAACAAATAAGAAATCCAATATAGAAAATAATTAAAATATACCAAATAGAAGTGAACAAATGCGCAGTTAGGCAGTTAGGCAGTTAGGAGGTATTCAAAACACTTGTAGCAATTAAGTCTAAGCCGAACTATAAAATATATATATATATATATAATTAATGATGATTATTAATATAATTTTTACCGAATAAACAAACTTAATGAAAAACGTATGTTAGGGCTGTAGCAAAACGATAACGAAAACCACAAAAACTCAAAGTGTTTAGACGTTTTAGCTATTGACAAACAAAAAAACTAGCGCACTTTTTCTTACTTAAAAAAGATTTAATCAAGGAAAACACATATAAAGCAAAAAATAAAAATAAAAGAAAAGAAAACAAAACAAAAAATACGAGTAACCCAATCCTGCAGTAAGCGAGATGCAAGACGAATTTTAGAGTGTGCCGTTTTTAAATAAACTAAGATTGTATTTTAGTAAGTTTTGTTCAGTTTTTTTTTAATACCCGACCAACATGGCTGGCTTATCCTTAACTGGGGACTGTTGTTGCTAGCCATGTGTACAGCTGCGAAGACAGATAAATACGATCTACACATGTGTGTACATTTATTTATGCTCCAATCTCCTGTTACAACAATTTTAATGCATATTATATTATTATTGTAATAACGATATATAAGTCTGTACATTTGTTAAAATTTCTAAGCTCGTAAGGTCTTAAGGCAAAAACCCAGCGTACATCTATGTCGTCTATGTAGTTGTTAGTTAAACCAAATTACAATTACAAAACAATTAATAAAAAATCAAACCAACATCGTGAGAATAATACTGAAATTATTGATTGATTGGTAATGAGTAACAATTGTTGAAAGCAAACGCTTTAAAATCAAAAAATTAAATGAATAAACACAAAAAATTGCAAAAAAAAAAAAAATAATAATTATATAACAGTTGTGAACAAATTATATTTACATAGCGTATAAATAAATAAATAAATTGCATAACAATTGATTTAAAATACATAAAATAATTAACCTTCTTGATTAATTAACCTTTGCTTTACCACTATCCACTGGGCTTCACTTCCAAGGATGTGACAGGGTCCTTGCCAGCTACACTAGTGCCACTGGCCAAACAAGTAGTTTTGCATGAGTGGAGGTCAATCCATGGTTTTTAAAAATAGGGTCACTTTTGATAAAGTTGTGGGCTTGGAAATTTTTGGGTTGTCCCAGAGACCATCTTTCGAGAGTATATTTTTATCATGCATTTCAAGTTTTAGTTGCGAGTTGCAGTTGTTTCCATCTGCACAGAGATCCGCGATGTTGAAAGTGAAAACTCTTATTGGCAATGGCCGTTATTGTAGTCGTTTGAATATCAGCTGCTTAGTGATGTGTAAATTTGTATAGTGATTGTTGGTAGACCCACATCTATAGAGAGTATTGGCTGGAAGGAGTTGCTCCTTCCGTAACAGCATATTTAAGTATGTAACCATATACATAATAAGCAAATTTAATATATATTGTAATTGTTTTTTTGTTTCCCAAATATTGCGTCCTTCTACTATTTTCAATATATATCGCACAAAAATATCGATAGCATATCGTAATTTTAACAATCGTTAGAGAGAGGGAAATCTTGACATTCCCAGCTCGCACGTTGTTGTTTCGTCTGCTTTTATTCTGAAGCAAAATGCCGCCGGAGGTGCAAATTACGAGCGACAGTGACTTGGATGCAGTCTTAGAGGAGTTTAAGGCCAAGCAACCACGACGCCACAGCACTGGCCCCAAATATAACTGCAGCATTGGCGGCTGTGACGCGACCTTCAAGCGCCTAGACCATTTGGATCGACATGAATACCATCACACCGGCATTGTAAGTGGAGACTATTTTCAAATAGTATTAAATATTTAATAAATTTGACTTCTCTGGGAATGTTAGAAGAGACACGCCTGTAACTACGAGGGCTGCATGAAGAGCTATACAATAGTCACACATCTGAAGCGTCATCTGCGCAGCACGCATGAGCGTCCGGAGGCGCCCCAGAAGATTATCAAATGCAGCCTGCCAGAATGCAGCAAGATGTTTACATCAGACAGCAACATGCAGCGTCACGTGCGCGAGGCGCATGAGTGCCCGCGCGAATATGCTTGCACCCATTGCACAGCCAAGTTCAGGCAGAAGATGAAGCTGCGCCGACACGAGATCACCCAGCACACCCAGGAGTATCCGTATCGCTGCGAGAAGTGCTCGCGCGGCTTCTACCAGCAGTGGCAGCAAGAGAGCCATCAGCGCAGCTGTAAACTCTACGATTGTCCTCAATGCGAGCTGAAGTTCAATAAGTGGTCGCTGTACACAAAACACTGCCGCGAAGCGCTCCACGGACGTGAACGTCACAAGTGCGAGCACTGCGAGCGCAGCTACGTAAAGCCCGACGATCTCAGGGCCCACATCGCTGCCAAGCATCCCGCAGAGAACGAGTCGACGTTCCCATGCACCGAGCCCGACTGCAATCGCAGCTACACATATGAACGCAATTTGCGACAGCACATCCTAACCGCACACTCCGGCAGACGCTTTGAGTGTCTGGCGGTTGGCTGCCAGCGCTGCTTTAGCAGCGCCCAGAACCTCAGCAAGCACTTGCTGCGCGAGCACACGGCCAAGGAGCGCTTGCCGGCGACATTGAAGCCGCCAAGCCCATGTCCTGACCTTAGCCCACATCCGGTAGCGAAATTATCGCGCAAGCGTCGTCGGGATGCTGGGCAGACAGCACGCTCTCACCTGTCCAAGCTAGCTGGCCTAGTGCTGGATAAGAATGTTGATAAGGAGGTGCGTCAGCGCGAGCCTTTAGCGCTAACCAGCGTGTCCAAAGAGCTGCAGAAACAACAGTACCCCATCGATGATATGGAAATGGAAGAACTTCTCACACGAACTCTGCAGGATGACAACCATCCGAAATGCGCCGCATAACGAGTCAGGAGAGAGAGAGAGAGGCTACATAACTTCTATGTTCACTTTGTTTACCATTAGTAAAATGGTTAAAGTAATAAATTCACAACTTATTATTAAGTTACTGTTACAATAGACAATTTACACGGGGAAAATAAACAAATAAACACTCTGAATTCATGATTGTATAGTCTATTTAATGGTTGGAAAATATAGAAAATTGCTCAAAAATGGGAAGACGAAGCTAAAGATATTCTACAAATGAAAACGAAATCAGCATCAATATTTAGATTACATGATTGCTTTTCAATTCAATTTGGCTTTTAGAAGATGCTGCATTGAAATACGGGTTAAAATATCATTGAGAATTGCGAGCTTTTGGCTTAAGGCCGGTTGCTATTTGCCAAGTGTTTGCCTAGAGACCCATTTGAGAGCTACTGCCGTAGGCGCACGATCAAGATTCCTTAGTCAATGTTATTTTTAATGTCTTGCGTATATATATTCTTGGTCTGGCTGTCTGACTGCACAGTCACTTAGTTAATGGTTTACTACGCGCATCGTATAGCATATCATAACAATTGGTTGTGTCTGCACTGGTATTTGTTTTCTTTTTATTTTACAAACTTATGGCTTAGCAGCAATTACTAGGCATATTGTCCTATTAACGAGTACTAACCTAGGCTTTCTACTCGGCACTGGTATTTAAACTCCGTCGCCTCTAAGAAATTGAACAGCATTGCTATAATTAATTTTGATTTACATTTATTACAATTTAGAGAACACAACGTGTTTGAAAACAACTTCAAATGCGCTGCATATGAAAGGGGCTGTCTGTGGCTGGACGGTGTATGTCGTGTGGGATTCTACAAGGAGTTGATCACCTTCCGGCTGCGCATCTGCTCCACCCAATGCTCATACTGCTGCTGAGGCGTCTGTGGCTCGGGCATATAATAGTGCTGCGGAGGTTCGCCCTCCTCCAAGCGCAGGAAGTAGTGACAGTGCTTGTACTCGACGCGACCAAAGCGACCGCGCGCATGTCGACGCATACCCTTAAAGACGCGTCCCTTACCCACAAAGGATTCAGCTGCGCACAAAGAGAAAGAACATATTAGTTTGAGGACATAATGATTGGCTGTATTTCAATGTACCAATCCACAAATTGCTCTTGTACTCCACATTGTGCCGCTCAACGGCCATTTGCTGCGCCTCCAGTATCGTCTCCTTCACATCTGTGGCGCCCTTTTTGAGCACAAAGTTGAGTTGTTTCAGCGCCTCGTCGACGGACATGCCGCGCACAAAGGCCGCTATATACCACATCTTGTCCGGGCTGTATTTGATATTGCTGCGCATGTGGCAAAGATACTGCCGCAAATAAATCGAATGCAATTTTAATCAATCGTTGAACAAGTGCAATTGGCTTGTTGGCTTACCGCTTTCCGTGGCTCTTCGTTTGTCTCCTGTGGCGGATGCACAGTTTTGTTATATTCCAGCCATTTGCGTGGCCCGTGGTTGTTTTTGTTCCATTTGGCACATAAGCCTCCAGTCGCAGCCGTGTGCACGTTTTGCGTGGTCGTCGTCTGTTGTGGAAATGCGAGCAGATTAGCAGCGCTGGCAGCTGGCGCGGATGTCAGCAGCGGTGCTTGCAGCTTTAACTGCGTCATTTGTCTTATCACTTTGTACATGGTGCTTCAATTACGCTTCAACTCAACTATGGCAACAGGGTAAAAAGAAACAGATGCACCACTGGTCGCGTAATCTGCCAGCAAACAGCTGTAAGCCACACAGTGTGTACCTGATATCGATATATCGATGTAAGGCACATATTGTTTAGCTGACATCGATATATCGATACACTATAGGAGCTGTAAGGCACATATTGTTTACCTGATATCTATATATCGATATACTATACGATACATTTAAGACACACGATACTTGGATTTACAATCGTCATTGTGGCGGTACAACACAACGGCCGTTCTTATCTGTGTCTCCAAACTTGGCTTGGAAAACGAAAAGTGAGAAAAAACTCCATAATTTTATACACCGTTTGCAACATATTTAAATTTAATTACAATTAAAATGAAATCTTATGAAGAAGCAAGAAAATTAACGAAAAAAATAATAGAACATTTTTACATATGCGCACTTTTATGAAAATTATAAATAAATACACGTAAATGGTGATTTCTTGTTTTACTACTTTTTGGCCTTTCCCCTCCAAGTTAAAAAGAAAAATAAATGTATATTTATTTATATATGTATATATTGAACAGAATTCCAGGAGCAGTACCATCTTTAGTATATAGGCGAGATACTAAACAATATATTAAAAACCAAAATTTGAAAAAATACATTAACAAACCATTAGATTTTTTCACTCGTAATTTTTGAAAATGCTTTGTTTTTTCTCACCTGTACATTTGTACTTACCAATTGTCATCTTAATATAAAAATAGAATACAGATGCTGTTGAGTATTTATTTAAGTTTAAAAAAAAAACCGTTACACAAAATAATATTTATTTGGAGTTGTCACTATTTGGACTTGGTTTTGCTCTTCCCCGCTTTGTGCTTCGACTTCACTTGCTGCTGCTGCTTCTGCCCATGTACGGGCGGCCTATAGGTGCCATGTAGCTTATCTAGCCAGCCCGTAACGCCGTAATTATAATTGAACCTAGGAACAGAAGGGAAAGTCACACTTTTAGACATACTTGTACATAAGTTTGCATATATGCTGCTCTCTCACTTGGCATGATGGTAGTCGTGGAAGCGCACAGATACGCCAGACCAGGGAAAACTGTAGCCCGTATGATCGGTTATCGAGTTGATGACGGCCAACGAGATCGTAACCCAGGCAAACAGCACGTGTGCGCCTAGTATGGATATTGAGACGCCCACGGGCAGTAAATTGGCGACCACATGCTCGATGGGATGTGCATAGAGAGTCATGGCCGCATGGGGCGCAGTCCATTCGTGATGCTTCTTATGCACGTACTTGTAGATGGCCTTGTGGTGCAGCAATCGGTGCACATAGTAGAACATGATCTCCTCCAGCACCACAAACGCGACAAAGTCGCGCACAATTCGTCCAAAGCTCGGAAGTTCGCGTATGTTTTGGGAATTATGGTGTCTGAGCACCAGTTCGAAGAGAAGCCAAATCGTGATTAGGTTTACCACAGTCAGATTGAACACAACCACTTTGACGGCAGCCCACAATCGTGACAGATCCAGTGGATCATTCTGCTCCGGTTGTATTTTGTATTTGCGCAGAAATCTCGGACGGTTGGTGATGTCCATGAGCATAAAGATTGCAGCATAGAACCAATAGACGAAAAATATGATCGCTGTAGTGCCGAGCACCCAGAGGCGCATCGGATCATCGCCAATGATGTCGAGCAGCGCCACCCAGCGCCCTTGGAGCAGATCCCCAGCGTAGCGCCAGCGCACAGCAAGACTGGTGAGGATTGTGCTAGTCTCCATGGCCGAATTCAAACTGGCATGCGTAAATCGCTTCAAATATATGCTTTGTACCCATGGATGCACTACAATTGAACGGGTATCCTGACTTGCAACAGCAGCTGGTGACGATCGACTGATTTGAATGATTTTCAAAATGGAATAATTAAACAGATTGAAGGTAATTGCATTTAATTTGTGTAAATTCAAAGCAACAAAAGGAAAAATTTGGAACGCAATGATTTGAATTTGAATTTTCTTTTAACAGCTGAACATTTTAAAAAGTGGATTTAGGTGAAGATACAACAATTATCTGTACAATTAAGTCAATTGCAGGTATTCAAGGTATTCAATTTACACTTTAAAGATACTGATTGGAAAACATTATGAAATTGGAATAAAAAACTTAATTGATGTGATTCAGTTCTTTAGAATTATTATTGTAGGTCATTCGGTTTGCTGTGTAGCTTTCTGGTTTTGTGATTTTATTATTATTATTGAAATGGTTATCAAATTTGTGTAGGCAATTTATAAAAGATTAACTATTGCTGGGCATTATTCAAGTCAGAGATTAGGTTTATTTTTAGCTCTTCTTTCGCCCAAAGTTCAAACAGCAACAGGTCTTTTTGCACTTAACGTTTGCGTTGGTTTCTTATTTATTTACTATCGCTAATTGTTTTATTTTTATTTTTAGGTCGTGCTGTGTGAGAAGTGTATTCGTATCTGCTTATACATCAAACATTCATCAATATATTTATGATTATTACTAGTAAGTTTTTGATTTGTGTTACTAACGCTACTAACATACACATTTACATCTTCTTTGTGGAGTATATCATTATCTGATTTTTTGGATAGATACTCTCACTTGCTTATTATCACAATAAAGTATACACATATAGAAATGCAAGTAAAAAAAAAAATACATGTGTTTTCTAGGTTCTTGTGAGGACACAGAGCACAGAGCATAGATGGAGAAAGATTATTCATATGTCCCAATAATAACAGTTGCCAGTTGACAGATAGGGACCTCACCCAAGGACACAGCACAGCACTGCACAGCACTCACTTCATGGTGGAGTCGGGAAAGGCATCGCGAGGCGGCACAAAGCTCAGCATCATAATGTGGCGAGCATAGGATTTGGTGGCGCGAAACAGCGAATCGGTGCCATGCAAACGATCAAGGACACCAAGCACCCCAAAGCAGTTGTTGAATCTATAAGTACAACATATAAATTAACGTGGTATAGAGTAAACAGGACTAGCTGCCTTACAGATAATCCTACAGACGATTTAAGTTGAGACCTTTTTGCATTCATTTTGAATTTAAATTAATATTAAATTTTAATTGAGTTTAATTTAATGTATTTTATATCTTTTTGTACTTTTTTTTGGTGTCGACTGATAGTAGTCGACATTAAATAAATAAATAAATAAAAGATAAATTATTCTAATTATATTCCAATAGTCCGATGGAGATAATGTCAAAATGTTTTGGACGTTTGCCTCATAATAAAGCTATTTAAAGGTGAGATTGGTCAAATATATAGTATAGAACAGATTGCCGCAATGTGAACTGTGTATGTATGTATGTATGTATGTATTATGCAGATTAATCCGATGAAGTTCGCTCTTCACAGATATTTGGGGTTTCAAAATAGTCAGCGCAACAACACCAAATTGGGATTTCTTCGAAAACAAAGAAGTTGTTCATAGTCGTTAGCAAGTCTTAAAATAAATCGTTCAATGACAGACCAGGTTTCTACTTTCTATTACAGCTTTTATGATATAGTGATTAGATCCGGTCGATTCGAATTTATGTGTTGCTTAAAGTTTAACTTAAATACTTAAATCAGGCAGTTATCATTCAAGGAAAGAGAGAGAGAGAGAGTGGGAGGGATGAAAGACGGACATGACAATATCAAATGGACTTTTTAGGATCAAGACCAAGAACATGGAACATGTATATACAAATTATAAGACGCTTAAGCGACTATTTAACTCACTTTAGATGATGAAAGTCATGTGCCTCGGGGCTGGGAAAGAATGGCAAATGATAGCCCGAGTGCGCATTCAGCGTGGAGAGTATGGCCAGTGCGAACCATAGCCAGGCGGTGGCCACATGGCTGCCCATCAGGAATACGCCCAGAAACGGTGGCAATAGATTACTGAATATATGCTCAATGGGATGGCAATATATAGCCGTCACCGATATGGGTGCGGTCCATTCGTGATGCTGCTTGTGTATAAACTTGTAGATGTGCTTGTGATGCAGCAAACGGTGCGAATAGTAGAAGCCCAGCTCCTCCATCAGGATGCACACGGTTAGCTCGAAGCATACCCAGTGAAATGTGGGCAGTTCCCGTATATCGCTCAAGCCGCGAACTGTCATCAGTTTATAGCTGAGAAATGCCAGTGGTATGCCCACAAAAATTTGATTACAGATCACACGCCAAATGACCTGCAAAGATAAGTTCAGTTTCAGTTCATCCATTTCGATTCGTTACCAGTCACAGAAGCCAATTTAATATAATTTCACAAAAAAAAGATATATATATATATATTATAAATTAAATTTCGGATTCGTCACCTTTAACAGACGTCCGGCCTCAACGGGCTCATTGGTGCCCGGCTGGATTTTGTACTTGCGGAGACATGCCGGTCGATTGGTCAGATCCATGAATGTATAAATGCCGCCAACAATCCAGTACACTATCATTGTGAATAGGGTGGTGCCAAAGACCCAAAGCATCATCGGATCATCGCCTATAATCAGCATATAAATATATACATATAACATAATACAAAATTATTTTATTTTACGAATATTTCAAATCGATCAGAAAGTGTGCTTGGATAAGAGACACATATGGCAGAAGCACAACTCATTAAAGGAGAAAACGCATTATAATTTGAGCAGAAGATCCGAAATGTGTCACGGACAGCATAATTCGAGCTACAAGTTTGAAGAGAAACAGGTGGCAAATTCCAAATGTAGTTGGCTGATTAACTCAAAAGAATCAATGATAAGTTGATGTAACAGATTAAGCCAAGCATTGTTCTACGATCAGCAAGAGAAGGAAGATTTATAAATAAAAATCTACTACGGTAAGCTAAAATTAGTATTCCAACTAAGACCCATAAGGGCAAATAATTGAAATTGTTTTTGTACGGATTCTGTTAAGACAAAGTTCATTTTGGACCAATAGACATTCTAATATAGGTATTTTTATGCTTTGAAAATGCTTTCAAAATACCTTTGAAATCGCCCAAATAGAAAGCATTTCTTAGTCTGCCTCATAAATCCCATCATATCGCTCTCAACTTCCCAGCAATTTTCAGCCTGATTTGGACTCAAACCGAAAGCAAATATAAATAAATGTAAACGAATATTTTATGCTTAACTATGTGTTTCACACAAGCCAATAAAACACAAGGCACAAGAATAAATAAATAATGAAAATTAACACGAATGAAGATAAGAAATTATTATGCGCAATCATTAATGTGGCACATTTGTTGATTCATTAAGGATTGCGATTGTTGGCAAATATTTCGATTTATCATAATTCCCAAGTGCCTAAATTTCAAAATGAAGACTTTATTGGTTTATTGAAAAAATTATTCTAAGAACAAGTTAGAATGCCACGATATACCCTCGATATAACGCAACTATTAACAATATAAGCTGCTGAGGTACCAGTCGTACTTTGATACTGAATCACATTCTATAATCCTTAAGTACAACTGTACAACTATAAGATATATAAATAGAAGAAATTACCATATATACCTTATATAGTTACACCTTAAATATATGCGTGAAAGTTCTCTTATCTCTTATGTCCGCAGATACTGAAGAATACAAAAAAAAAAACACTAAAGCTAAAACAGTATCCGCTATTTATTCACAAGTCCCAACTGAAATCACTGGCTTGTGACACATATGTGTACATGCCTGTATGTGTGTGTGAGTGTGTGTATATATATATATATATATATGTGTGTGTGTGTATCTGCTATCGTAGATATAGGGGTGCGTAATGAGATCAAGAGAATGCCATTATGTATATAACTATAACTAGAATTGTTCAGTTGATCAATAATATATCAATGTACAGTAAATATTGAGAATAAATTGGTAGGCCTGCCTTTGAAATTGTGTTTTTTCGTGCTATCGTAATTCGATATTTATCGATATTTGCAAATCGGGTGCAGTTATCGATCAATTGAAATGGACTTGATCTTGAAATATCTAGTTCTGATAAAAACTGTAGTTTTTATCTGAACTAGTTCTGAGTATAAAAACTGAGTGCTAATTTTTCTTCCATAGCTATATGGATTACGATTAGCATTTATTGTTGCTCAAGTCTCAAGAATTAAATGTATCTGTAACGCTCAATGAAATGTGTCACGTAATTCAGTAGGGTAAAAGTCAATCGACTGCTGTGCATTATAAATATTTGTATGTATGTATACACCTGCATAGACTTACGTACTCTCTAAATTTTGTTTACTCTATTAACTTAAGTTAAGTTACTTAAAGCTTAAGTGCGACTTTAATCATGATGGCCACTTAGCTGGAACTAGTCTTTATTTCCATCAAAATTTGCATTTTAAGGTGAACAAACTATATATTTTCACTGGGAAAAATCTAACCAATGAAAACTATATCATTTAAGTAAATTGAAGAAGTATCTAAAACACTCGATGGTGCAAATAACATTCATGTTGTGTGGTGTAATCAAAGTTCCCCACAGTGCGGCACCAGTGTGTGTGTGTGTGTGTTTGTGTGTGTGTGCGAATTAATAAACAAAACAAGTGCTGTTTATTTGTTTGCCTTTGTTGTTGTTTTTGTTATTGTTGCCTTTTGTGAATCGGAGGCAAAATTGCAATTTGTGATATCTGACCTAAGAAGAAGACACATGAAAAGATACACACACGACACACTCACACAGATATACACATGCATACATATGCATAAATGTAGATGGAAGACGAAGCCTTCGGTTCATGCGCACTCACAGATAATTTTATGCTCTTGTATTCTTTGACGTCTTGGCTAACTTACCAAACTTGTCAATGAACTTGTCCCACTGCGATTGCCAAAAGTCTCCGGAGGCGCCCCAGAAGCTCTGCAAATGCCTAGTGGGCAGGTAAGAAATATCGTTAAATTTCGTCATTCGATACTCAGGTGAAAAATGTGTTAAAATTAAAAGAAGAAAAAAAGAATCTCAGCAACTATTTATGGAACTATCTCTTAGTCAACGGTCGCCGAGCAACTGAACAACTGAATTTTGGGTATACTCGGGAAGCGCAGCTCAGCAGAGAAAGAGAGTGGGAGCGAGAGAGAGAAGAAAGAACAGCTGTGTTCTCGTCGATCGCAATTAAAGCTTTGCATGTTTCTGCATTATCAGTTATGTCCGTTATTTTAAGCTTTCCAAGTACCTTGCAGAGCTTTTAAGACAGGTACATCCAACATATTTAAATGTAGAGCTCAATTTTATAAACGGTGAAAAAGCAGCTAAAATTTGCGCACTTTTCTTTTAGAAAATGACTCTTAATTGACCATGTTAATGCGTCAATTTAACTTACGAGTTGCACAGTAATTCAATGTAAGCAATTCTTAATAAAAGTCGAATAATAATATTATAAGACTAATATCTCAAATAACAATAAAAAAAAATAATGTTCGAAAAATGAGACTTATCAGATCAAATAATAATAAAATGTACAAAATAGGGTTAGTTAGAATAAACCTAGAAAGACTGATGAAATAAATTCGAATGTGAAACGATACTCAAAATCATTTTATATATATATCTATATATATATATATTCTTACCAAGTCAGCACATTACGGAACAATATAAAGACGGCCAAAGCGCATGTGATGATAAAGATGACGCTGTGCAATGAGGACAGCCACAGCGGACTGTCCACCTCATCCGTCCGGCCATGGACTGTGTTCACCGTGGACACCATCAACTTTGGCGCCATCGTTCCACTCACATCCAGCAACGTGTGGCAGGCAGATGCTTCTGCTGCTTTTGCTACCACATTGGAATCGCCGGTGCTGTTCTCATTGGTGCTGCTGCTGGCATTGTTGGTTGGCGGCTTTTGGGCGGGCGAATTTGTAGACATTGTTGTTGTTCTTATTGCTGTTGTTATTGTTATTGTGGCTGCTGTTGTTGTTGCTGCTGTTTTTGTTGCTGTTGTGGGTTTTGTTATGCTTTTTGTTGCCCTTGACATTTAAAGCACTTCGATTTTTTCGTTGCTTAAATTTCTTAAATTGTGCGAGTCAATCCTTATAAAAATAAACGACCGGCATTTGTTCTTGTCAGCCAATAATTAATGAGTGTTGCAAATGAAATTGTGCTTGTGCCGCTTAAATTGATGTTTTGCATTTTTTGAATTTCTTTCGATTTGGTCTTTGGCTCAAAGCTCACACACATACACATACACACACACCTGCACAAAAAGACACACACACCTACATATTGAAAATTCAAGGCAACGCTGTGTGTAATCGATAAGCGATGTATACCATTTTCCGCCAAATGGCAACACTGTTCGAACAATCAGTGTGACCATGCTGAACGGTTTATTTAACCAAAACTTGCACCTCACTGAATTGTAACAGTCTTCATTTTGTTTTTGTTGCGCGCGGTTGTTCTTCGTTTGTATGTATAGCAGCAGCAGCAGCAACAGCGCCGGTTTGATTGAGTGGGACTGACGGACGAATGAACGGACGGACGGCCGTGTGCTGTTAGTTGTTGGCATAGAACATTTTCTTATTTACTTGTTTCAAATTTTTTTCTTGTGCGTACGTGTGCCTGTGTGAAATTGTTTTTTTGGATTTATTAACACATACACGTACAATAATATGTGCATACATACACGCATACATACAACAATTGGCCAAAAGCGCAATCAATACAATTTACGAATTGTTGCCTTTTATATATGTCTGTATTTATATATATATATATTTAATGCAAGCTGTTGTCAGTTATTTTGTATGAGTGTATATATATGTGTGTGTATGTGTGTGTGAGCGGGCACCGCGCCCAAAAGTAATTTAAACAAAATAGCTAATTTCCACGAAACAACAAAATGAGCGCAATTTCAAGTGAAGAACAAACAGCAAAAAATAACTCAACTCAATTCGACGACGACGCTTAAAGGACGCTGTTGTTGGCAGCATCCATTGCAACAACAACAAGCACAAGAAGAAGAAGAACAACAACAGCAAAGTCTTCTAATATTTGAAGTTTATTTGGTCAGATGGCTGTACAAAAATATAAGAAAAGAAAAACTACAAATACAAATAAAATAGGCGCAGTCAATCGCCAAAGTCGATGTCAAAAGCCAAAGCACCTTTTGTGCAGTTTGGTGAAAATTATTAAACTCCTCTCTCTCCCTGCATGTGTGTGTGAAACACATACATGTATATATATATATATATGTGCATGTACATAGAAACTTGCGCAGAGCAAAGCAGCCAAAGCCACCGATTTAACTCGAATCGAGCCGAGTTGACTCAACTTGAGTGAATTACACGCGCTCTCGTTCTCTCTGTGGTTTACCTGGCTCGTGACGCTTTGCTAGAGTTGTGGGTGTGCGTGTATGAGTGTGTATTTTGCTCTCTTTTTTACTTTTTCTCAAGTTTTAGCTTTTGAGTTGCCACTATTGTTGTTGTTGTTGTTCTTCATCTTTATGTTTGTTGCTACATTATTATTGCCGCTTTGTATCAGCAAGCAGCAAAGGCTCAGGACTCTTTTTCTCAGGTAAGTTAACAGAGCATTTTTGCAACACTGTCTTGTACAACATTTTTATTAGAGAAACCATTCACACATTCCGCAACACTCTCTTTTTTTCTGTTACCCTCTCTATGTCTCTCTTTTTGGTAGACATTTTGTTGTTGCTGTAAACTCTAAACTGGTTTTGTTAGAGAGAAAAAAAAACAGCAGCAGCCGCTGTCAAACACGAAAATAATACAAGTCAACACACACACACATACACACGCAAACTGAGCTACATAAGTGTTCACTCACACAAATACACATACAATCTTAATTCGCGCTTATTGTCTGTGCGTGTGTGTGTGAGCTAAGGTGGGGCTACAGCGGAGCAGCAGAGACTGACGACATCAGTTCTAGAGATCAGCGCAGTCAGCGTCGCTGCCGACGCTCAATTTGTGTCTGTCGCTTTTCGTTTTTATTTGCTGTTAATAAATGCATTTTTTGCTCTTTTTGCCTGCGATCGACGACGTCATCATTTCTGCGCACCTTGACGCTGACGTCGACGCTCACATCGCCCCAACCCAGAATTACCTCAGACTTTGTTGAGTGCCAAATTGGGGCTTAATTAATGAGATACTTTGCCATTTTGTTGGTTTTTTTTTTGGCAAAGTTTTACTTATTGGTTCATTGTAGAGAAAACCATTTCTCTGAGTTAGAAACTTAAGGAGAACGAAATGAGTGCGAAGAATGTATTATTTTGATAATGACGACGACGAATATAATAATTATACAAATGATATATATACATATATAATATACTGATATTCAGACATACTTATCTATGAATATATATTAAAAATACTATTTATTGATGTTGCCCCATTTGGGTTTAATTGGAATTTCGAGCGACCTTCAATTGAAAGCGACCAACTAAAATTACGATGACGAAAGCACGCTCAGGAGAGAGAGAGAAAGAGAGCATTAATGTGGGTGGGTCATTTGGGAGAAGAGAAAAAGAGAGAGAGAGATAGAGTTACGCACGTTGAGGTTGATGGATGGATGGTCATGCTTCAATTATTTATTATTATTGTCGTTTATATTTCATTCGATATTTGACATTTGCTCTCATTCTCTCTCTCTCTCTCTCTCTCTCTCTCTCTCTCTCTCTCTCTCTCTCTCTCTCTCTGTCAGTCTGTCTCTGTGTGCTCCTCTTCAATTGTGAAGAGATCAGAGATGTTTTAGAGAGTATTGAATTCGAAATACGTTAAAAATGTTGATGGTAACTACTCATATTTTATTACACAAGTTTTTTCCTATTAGGAACTTTTGAAACAATATTTAACCATTCAACAGTTAATATATTCCTCTTAAGCTGATCAGTCGTAAGATCGATTCATTGTTTTTTTTTTTATTTTTATTTTTTGAGTTAAGTTTCGAATGCTGTAGTTGAGCTTATTGAGTTGATATGATATGATATCATCGAGCTGATTTCGTCATTGCCCGTCCTCTGTCTCATTCTCCCCCTCTCTATTTTCGGTTCACTCTTTTTAGATTTATGTTATTGTTTTCTTTTAATTAAAGCGAAACGCCCAAAATTAAGTTTTGTTAAAAAAAATACAGAAAAAATAGTTTCGTTTTTTAATTGTTTGAATAAGTATTTTAACTTATTATTCTATACACATATGATGTACATTTATATATATCTAAATATATGTATGTATGTATGTATATATGTATAAATATATATGTATATATATATATATGTGTGTGTTTGTAAATAGTTCAATATATATAGATATATATGTGCTTGATTTTGCGTTCATTTGAATGTGTTTATGTTTTATAGTCGAAGCTGAAGCTGTATTTGTGTTAATGAGTATCTGTGAGATACATTTGTATCTTTCGGCTGCCATGTGAAACTTGTATCTTTCGCAATTTTAGACGCATGCTGCTTATTTGCTACTGATTCTGCTGCTTCTTCATCTCTTCTTCTGCTCTGTGTCTCGTCGCAATTCAATTTGCCGAAACAGCTGCTGCTCCCGCTGATTGCGTCATTTTGCGGCCAACAACGAGCGCATCTTCACTCGAGAGTGCTCGACTAGTAGATACCCTGCACCTTGAGTGCAAGTACAATATTCACTCGTTTGTTCATACGGATCAAGAATATATTTCTTTCGGATTGTTATCTATATTTCCACTACTCCACATTACTCCTTAAAAAGAAATCTGGCATGTCAAATAAGAAAAAAAAACATTTCGTTAATCTGAATTGAAGGACTTGCCAAAGTTCTTCCCCATGATGTCATTTTTGGTTCAGTTTGTTGCATGCCCCCGGCACGCCCAACACACAAATCCACCACCCACCAAAAAAAAAAAAAACAAAAAAACAACGATATTAACTCGTGTACAAAATCCTTTTGCCGGCCTACAAAACAAAAATCAATAAAAGTGCCAGGAAATATACATACACACATACATACATATGTATATATACACAAATACAAATATTCATACACACACATACCAAGAGACCCAGTACCCAACTCATAAACAAATGTCGGCTGGCCTGCGGAATGACATCATCAAGAAGAAAAAGAAGAAGAAGAACAACAACAACCACAACGACATCGTTTGTCATCATCGTTTATTCTTTAGTTCGTGTGTTTCCGATTTTTCCGAAGTTTTCTGCATTTTTATTTCATTCGCTTTCTTACGCGCTGCTCCCCCGAAAAAATCAGATCAGATGCTAAGGCTCGGTCGACAGAGGGTGCGCGAGTAGCGAAAAAACGATAATATTTCGTACAACGAGAGATCCGCTGAGAAACCCAGCAAGGAACTGGTAAATGACTCCTCATTACCGAATGTATTGTGTAGACACACAATGTAATCCATTACCCAGTAATGCACTTGCATGCTGATTTGTATGCTAGACATATTCTAAGTCAGGCACAAACTTCACTTCGCGAAACAAGGATCTGAATATATTGAAAATTTCTGAATTTACATGTTCCATGTTGACTTCCATTATTCATTACTTATTTATTTCAATTATGCAAATGCAGAATGCTTAATTTAACATTAGACGCTAATTGAAGCTGAGCATACGGGCAACGAAGATTCAGGCACATGACGCGATCAAGCGATAAACCATATTATCAATTACTCTCTTGCTTCTTACTTCGCTCTCTCCTTGTCGCTTAAGCTCTCTTTTTTGCTCTCTCACTTTGCCAAGTTTTACGCGGTTGGTTTTAAACCAGGGTTGCAAAGCTTTTAGCGCATACCGCAAAGATAGGATCTTTTGAGACCTATTCCATTTATTGTGTACTCCTATAAGATTTTGGTATTGTTAACATTGCCTTGGGGAAGTTTAAGATATACACAGAGATATTCTACAGATTTCAAAAACGACAAGTAAAACGAATGGGATGCTGTGCTGAACGCTTGCAAAGCTACAACGCTGCCCTATTAAATATACATATATATATATATATACATGCATACACTTAGAGAATAAATCAACTTGAATTTTTGAATACTAAAAAGTTTCTCTTGTTTATAGATATTATTTGTAGACATAAGAAAAACATATTCTTAGAATTGGAATGTTGTTTTTTCTATTCTTAATAATAAAAAACTATTTCTAAAAAGTAGAAATGCAAATTTATTTCGTAATAATATAGCATATTTCTCAAATGCAGTGCAATGTGTTTTTGCTGAGTGTAGTTAATTATTAAGCCGCTTCTATTTATTATACAAAGCAACAGTTTTAAATCAAGACATGTCTGTCTGTTTGTCTGTCTGCCCACCTGGTGGTTAGTTGGACGACGACCTCGTCAAGGAGGAAACAACACGAAAGCAACAACAACAATAAACAAACAAACAACAGCAACGCACTGAGCGTTATTTTTTTTTTTGCTTATGCCTTTGCGGCGGTTTTT